TTTGTACACATATTATATGCTTAATCCCTGCAATTGTGTATTATATACGCATAATATTTGTACCCATTTTCCTGATGCAGGATGGTCTTGAATCCCTTGTTGAAAATCATTACATATAAATTTAATAATAATGGAAAGGGTTTCCAACAGTGGCAATGTATTGTTTTAATGTACATCAAGAAAAGTAGTAGGTTTTGTTACTCTGTATTAGGGGTGAAGCAAAATCTTTGGCTTCAAGTTTTCGAAAGGGATCCTATGCAAGGAAACCAGATTTCTGTCTCCTTTCAAGAGTAGCTGGAACTATCCAAGAAATTTTATATGAGGAGACATCCTCTCCTTTTATCAATCTTCCAAACAAGATCCCTGATGATCTATACAAACTGTTCCAGTTTGGACATGATTCAGAAGTTATGATGACTACTGAATTAATTTCAGAGAATATTCAATACTTACCAAACTATGAGGAATTGTGGAGAAGGCTATGTGATGTTGAGCTATTTCTCCTTCAAGCTTATGGTGGGTCTCATACTAATTGATCTTTGTATCATTAATCATTCTACTAAAAGTAATATTTTGCATTGAATAAAAACAAAACTTAGAGTTTTTATTATGGATCAACCTGGACCTCCAATGTGTTGAGTTCATGAGATCTTTGATTTTCAAATCCCTTACAACTCATCAGATGAAATTTCAGTTCTCTATTTTACTCATGGTCTCTGAAAAATTCAACTAGGTTTAGGAAATACATAATGCAATTGACAATATTTGCAGAGAAATACAAAGACAACATCAAAAACCTCTCATCAATCCTCCAAATGTTTCATCTGAGTTACCAATTCAAGGTTTTACTTCTTACCCATCTCCATGACCAATAAATAATACATACATTCATAAATGTCACACTCAAAATTTTTTTATATCATCAGGAAATTTTTTCTGATGCAAATTTATGTAATATTATGGGGCCCACCATAAACTTATGTAAATAGTGTAATATTATGCAATTATTACATTCAGTGTGAATATTACGTCCTTTTTATGTGAAATATTACAACATTTCATATTAAAACTTATGGATGTAATATTACGGCAGGAAAAGTTTCCTGATGACTTATTATTAAATATATAAAGATACAATACTATTTTAAATATATATTTTTTTTATTATAAAATTCAAAAATAATTATTCTCACTTAATATTTAACATTTCTTTGAATCCTCTAATAGTAATTATAAGAGATGAATTTTTATCACATGAGCATAATAATAATATTATTATTCATTATTATTATTTATTACAATAATATTATCAAAACTGTTATGATCACATTGCAAATGACTAAATTTTGATCCCTGAAATCCTTGGTAATACCAATGTTCACTTTGTCTGGTTTTGTTGCTTGATGTAAAGAAATACATTTGTATTCCTATTAAATTTTATTATATTCACAAATATGTATAAAGTTTATTTTTGCATGTTTTGAGATAAAAAAATTTTAAATTTAAAAAAATCACGACTTATCGAGCTTACATATGTACATTTATGAATAAATACACAAAAATAAAAAGTAGCTCTCACTATTAATAAACAACAGGTCTTCAGAACAGGCCCTATCAAAGTAATATTCATGTTTCCCTAAAAGAAAAAACCAACAGGGGAGATGGAAGAAGAAACAATAGGAAGGACCATTAGGATTTTCTTTAGAAAATTCTCTAGAAGAAATAGTTGTCATTTTTAAAAAATATGATAATGATCAAAGAAATGCTAATCCAGAATACAAAACAATATTGCCCGACTTCCTAACACTATCTTCCAACGAAGGTAATACTATAGCTGATAGTGACTCATCTAATACTATAGGCAACATTGACACCAATACAATCGTAGTAGATGATGATGGTGAGTGGAGGGAGGAGAGAGGAGAATGTTACAATGACAAGTTATCTTGGGTTAAATTTATAAGAACATTTGCTGATTATATAACACTTTCTTTCATCTTACTTTTTAAAAAAATTATTTGTCTGTATTTAATGATAATGATGATAATGTACAGTAGAATCTGTCTAAAAGCATAGAATTTTCTTGGCCCCAAGTTAGGCCATATGTGTTATAAGTATACTGCATATTGTTTGTATATAAGCATAAAAAAATTCTAAACTTAATACAGGTCACTCCCATTATACGGTGCAGATCATCTATAATCATTAATTGCTTATAGTAACAATTGGTCAACTTCAAAATACTAAAACAAAA